CCCCATTCCCATCCCATCCCACCCCACCCCATTCCCAGCATTCCCATCCCATTCCCGCCATCCCCACCTGCCGGTGCAGGTAGCAGTGCTCAAATTCCTGCAGGGGGATCCCGTCCAGCAGCACCTCCCCGCTCCCAGGATCCCGCAGCCGCTCCAGCAGCGCCACAGCCGTGCTCTTCCCGCTCCCGTTGGGCCCTGCCAGCGCTGTCACCTCCCCAGGATGCAGCTCCAGGGACACGTCCTGTGGGATAGGGAATGGCTGACACCGCAATTCCCACCTCTGGGAATCCACCCTTTCCCCAGGATACACCTCGAAGGACATATCCTGTGGGATGGGGATGGCTGACACCGCAATTCCTACCCCTGGGAATCCCCACCCTCCCCACCCCAGACCCACCCTCAGCACGGGGCGCTTGGGATTTCCAGGATAGGTGAAGGAGACCCTCTGGAAGGCGACGTGGCCCTGGAGCTCGGGGGGCTCCAGCATCCCCCCGATGTGCCTGGTGGGTTTCCAATCCAGGTATTCCCAGATTTTCTGCCCGGCAGCCACGTTGGTGATGAACTCATTGAAGCCGAAGAGCAGCACCTGTGGGGGAGGGGAGGAGGTGGCACTGGCAGGGATTGGGAACAGGGCATGGATGGACAAACACCTGGATTCCATGGGATCACCTTAACGTGGCGACCGACTGTGTCCTGGTACAGCAGGAAGGTGACGAGCACCCCAGGAGTGATGGATCCATCCCGGAGCTGCTGGTGGCTCTGGAAGAGCACCAGGACCCGGATGGCCAGCTGGAGCATCTGCAGGTGGGAACATGGATACTGGTGTCCCCATCCCAGTCCTGGTGTCCCCATCCCAGTCCTGGTGTCCCCATTCCTGTTCCTGGTGTCCCCATTCCTGCTCCTGGTGTCCCCATTCCTGCTCCTGGTGTCCCCATCCCAGTCCTGGTGTCCCCATTCCCATTGTCTCCATAACTCCTCTTGGTATCCCCATCCCTGTCTCCACTCCCCCGAACTTCCTATCCTGGTGTCCCCATTCCTGATCCTGGTGTTCCCATCCCTTGTCCCGGAGTCCCCACCCTGCTGCTGGTGTTGGCATTCCCATTCCTGGTGTCCCCATCCCTGATCCCAGTGTTCCCTGTTCTTGTCTTCCCATTCCTATTCCTGGTGTCCCCATCCCCAATCCCGATGTCCCCATCCCAGTGTCCCCATCCTGCTCCCAGCGCCCCCATCCCAGCGGTGTCCCCATTCCCGGTATTGCCATTCCCGTTTTCCCCTGACCCTCTGGATGAGGGTAAATCCTGCCAGCTCCAGCTCCATCCGCTCCTTCAGCCTCAGCTCCTCATCCAGGTTCTGGCTGTGCCGCTCCTCCTCCTCCTCCTCTGCCGAGAAGATCCGGATCGTCTCCATGGCGGCGACGGATTCCTGCACCCCCGAGGCCGTCCGGGCGGATGCTTCCAGCATGGATCGCTGCAGAGCCTGTGGAGCCACGGGCGGATTCCCAGCTTTCCCAGACTACCCTCCTGGCCCACCATCCACATCCCATTCCCATCCTATCCCATCTCCCACTCCCTCTACCACAGTCCTCATTCTTACTGTCCCATCCCCACCATTCACATTCCCAACATCC